AACAAGAAGCCCTTCTGTCCTAAAGGTCAGGTATAGAGTTACAGGCTTAATTGGCTTTACCTTCCCCAGAGTGGAGGCAGAAGAGATACTCATAGGCTAAGCACATGGACCCCTGGGTCCACTTCCCAGGTCCAGACTCATTCTAACCTATCAGCTAGAGAGAGAAGGGAGCTCAGGAAACTTTGAATGAAGGGAGGCTTCCAGTTGGGAAGGGGGTGGCCTCCACTCAGGAAGAATACTTTGAGATGTTCAAAGGATGATTCTTGAAGGGCGCAAAATGTCTTCCAGTTAGAGATCATCTAGTTTAACCACTTCATTATCCAGACAAGGAAAGGGAAGGTGCTTGCCCAAAATAGTACAGCAATGAACCATGAATTTGGACTTAGGAGGCTTGAATTCAAATACTGCTTTACCACTTGCCACTAATGTGACCTTGGTAAGTAAATCTCTTTCATTTTCCTGGTCTTAGCTTATTTTTCTATAAAATGACATGGTGATAACAGATGATCTCCAAGATCCTTCCAAGCTTTGCATTTCATGATTTTAACATTCTAAGTCAGTAGTAGGACAGTGTGACTTTTAATTGTGTAAAAGGCATGGGCCAGGAGATCCTCCTGGCCCTCCATAGCACCTCTGATCATGTGGGGAATTTTCCAGCCAGAAAATCCTGATAACAGCAAAAATAATAATTTTCATTTCTATAGGCTTACAAAGCATACACTCAGTTTGGGCAATGGAAAGAACACAGAATTTAGAGTCAGAAAATGTGATTTCTATTTCCATCTTTGCTAATTACTACCTGAATAACCTTCTTACTTAACTTTGCTAAGTCTCAGTTTCCTCATCTGAAAAAAAATTTAAAGTTGAATTAGATTATTTCTAAGATATCTTCCAGCTCTAAATTCTATGATCCCATTTTACAGATGAAGGAACTGAGGTTCAGAGAGGTAAAAATGACTTGACTAAGGTAAGAAAATTAACTAGTTAGGTCAGTATAATTCCACATATAAAAATACTCAACTCTTACCCCAACACTCCAGGAGTGGATTCAATTACTTGCTCAGGATTTTTGTTCATTTAGTTACATCCACAGACTAGTACTGCCTTGTATATAGCCTAAGGAATTCAGGTTTGCCCAACCAGGAAGGAAATCAGGAGTAAGGTGGAGGAGGGTGAGGATGGAGGGGAGGACAGATTGCTCAATTGTCTAGCCCTGGAACTAGTATAAACTATCTGAAGTTAGTCGCAGAATTCCAGAACTGAAAGGAGACCTCAGCTTGATACAGGGGAAGAGTGCTGGAGGATACTGACTTTGGAGTTAGAGGTAAGGGCTTGAATCCTGGTTCTTCCACTTACCATCACCACCAAGTCACTTCATCTCTAAGGATCTTAGGGCTCTCATCTGTAGAATGAGGGGTATAGACTAGCTGGCCTGTAAGATCCCTGCCAGCTCTAAAGCTATATTTATCAAGTCCACCCTCTTCATTTTTTACAGAAGGAAATTGAGTCTCATAGAGAAGGGAGGTGAATTAACCAAAGTCCAATTAGTTAGTGGAAATGCTAAGGGTAGAACCCAAGCCTCCTGACTTCTAGTTCCTACTCGGGAGTAGGAACTTCTAAGTCATATTGTTCAGTCCCTGTACTCCCCTCTCAACTTCTTCCCCACAAAATAACCCATTCCCTGACTTCCATTTACTTTCTTAGAATCAGTCACTGAATCTTAGCATATTAGAGCTGAAGAGTCCTTAGAAGATATAACACAGAATGTGAAAACTGGAAGATGCCTTAGAACATAGAAGTCTGAGCTAAACATGAACTATTGTTTCTTTCTAGAACTATCAGATCTAGAAGATACCTAAGAGATCCAGTCCAACTTTTTCATTTTATTGAAGACAGTGAGGCCCAGAGAAAGAAATACTTGATTCTCACTACTGGTCCTCCTGGAAGTCATCTTGATTCTGCTACCAGAGTGGCTATCTCCAGTCCCAGTCTTCCATTCAGTGCTGGAGGCAGCACTGCTGTGGTGCTGCCTTCTACACAAGATCTTTCCCAATCCCACCAATTCTTAGTCTTCTCTCCCTCTTGAAATTATGTTGTATGTGGTATATTCTCACCTGTAAACACATTGTATGCTCTCCACTCCCCAAGTAGAAGGTAAGTTCATTGAGAGGAGGGGATTTTTTTCCCTTTGTATTCCCATTGCCCAGTATAGAGTAGGTGCTTAATAACTATTGAATTGAAGCTACCATCTCTGTTCATTTATTTCCAGCCCTTTTTGAGGACAATTCTTTGCTGGTCAAAGAAAACTGAGAGGTGGCTCATTGTAAGGAGATTCTGAAAGGGAGGAAGGGGTGTGGTTTGAGGCTGCTAGTGAGTAAAGGCCAGTTATCTAGGACTTAGGCTGATGGACAGAGGGAACTGAGCTTTGGCTACCAAGAATAGGAAGTTACCATTTCAGTATCTAAAAATATCTCTCCATCTGTCCACTCAGTCAAGGGAAAGACAAATGTAGATTGGTTCCTGGATATAGACTTGATTATTTTCATGTGTCAGGCTAATAATAATAATAATGATGATGAGGATGCTTTGAATGGATACTGATTTTTCCCCAGGGCAGTCTGAGGGAGAACAAGTTCACCATCTTGCTGGTGACTGGCCCTGTCACAGACGGGGGAAACTGAGGATTACAGAGGCATGGTCACACAGCCAGAATGATACAAGGAGCAGGCAACTGGAACAAAAACTAGAAGCCCTGACCCCAAAGTCTAGTGGTCTGTCTTCCAAGCTAAGCAGAGAATGATGATGATGATGATGACAATGATGATGATAATGACATACTACAACTTTGCTTTTGTATGGTGCTTTATAGTTTTCAAAGTGCTTTCACATCCATTGTCTCATTTGATCCTCATAAGAGCTCTCTGAAATATAAAGGTTAAATATTGGCTCTCTGTTCTACAGATTAGGAAGCTAAGCCAAAGAAACTAGTCCATAACTGAAGTTATTCATGGAGATAGCCCTAACAGAGAACACAGACCTCCTGACTTATTTAGTGCTTCTTCAAGTAGAACCGTCTACACTTCCCCTTCCCCAAGCAATGTCAATACAGGGGCACTTGGGACAGCCTGACTCATCCCAACCAAAGAGGAGCTTACTCTTCTAAGAGGCCTATATGGATTAACTAGGGAATGGGGGAGATACATTCCTCATTAGAGATTCATTCTCTTGAATGAAGATATCTTCTTACAGGATTCTCCAGCTCTTGGTCCTGCTAAAGTAAGGTTCTATCTCAATGTGGCTTTCCATTGACTTCGTTGGGGGAACATTGTTCTAGATCCAACTCAGCACAAAGGGCTCCCGATTGCAGGGAAAGAAGGGAATTGGAATAAATTGGAATGGATTGGAACAAATCTGTGAAAAACTTCAAGGTCTCCCCTCCTATGGAAGCTAAACCAAGCTTTTTCTTTTGCCCTTATGGGCTCTGAGAGGTGGCAAGAATGGCTCCCAAATTCCCATTGAGGTGGGGTGGAAGAATCCTTACCCCAACTGTAGTCCTAATCACAGAATATAAAAGCCAGAATGCAGAATACCAGAGCTGGAAGGGACCTTAGAACTTAAAGTATTAGATTTGGAAGAGACTTTAGAGATAATCTAGTTCAGCCTCTTTGCTTTGCATGTGGGAAAGGTAAGGCACAGAATAGGAAAGGGATTTGCAAAGGACCTCGCAGCTTGAAAATGGCAAAGTCAGGATTCAAACCAAAGTCTTCTGACTCTATAGTTCTATGATCTTAGCATTACACTACACTAAGAGCTGGGAACCCTGAAAAAGCAGCTCAGCACAGGGGGAAAGGAATATAGTTGGAGAGTAGGAAGCCTGCAAATCTGTCCTGAAACAGTGGGCCTACTTTCTTGGGCCTGCTTTCCTCTCCTATGATCCCCTTTCCTGAGGTTTAACGTAGGGACAAAAAGGGAGGGAAAGACCTAGGGTACTAAGAAGAAGCATCAGAATGGAGATGTCAATTGATTAATGAATGCTAGTTGATTATTTACTGTTGATTGTAGACCCACAGACCTTTTCAAATAGAAGAACTCATTCCCAATGCTCTCCAGACTAGGAAGTGGGGGGGGCTGCCAAAGGGGTGAAGGGAACTGAAGAAATGGCAAGTTCTGCTGCCTCCCACCACCTTCCCCTTTCAAAGCTTCCCCTTTCCAAATGCTTCTTCACCACCTCTAAATCCTCTCCTAATTCATTCTTCACATCATAAGGACAAATGTTTCCATATAGCATGATATGGTTAAAAAAAAAAGCAATGACTTTAGAATTAGAAGATTTGGGTTTGAGTCTTGACTGTTATTTACTATTTGTGTGACCTTTAGACCATTCACTTAACCCTATAAGACTCAGTTTCCCTATCTATAAAATGAGGGGGTTATATTAAATTATCTTTGTAAACAGTCTCTATTACTCTGACATTCAATGAGGCTATAAAGAGCTTTTTACTTGGAATCATGACTCTAGTCCTGATTCTGTCAGACTTGCTGTGTGACTTTGGGCAAATCATTTATCCTTCTGAGCCTTAATTTCCTCCTCATTACAAAAGGGTTTGACTGGACGACCTCTAAGCTCTGAGTTGGGCCTTCCAGCTTTGACATTCTGTGATTCTCTCACACCCTCCCCCCAATCTTGTACTGCCCCATGCATGGGGCCAGAGGGGAGACCCCCCGAGAGGTGAGGGAAAGAAGGAGAGGACAGGGTGGGGCTGGGAAATATGGGGAAGGAAATGAATCAATCCAGTCCCTCCCCGCCCACCCCCCACCATTTTTCCCCGTCTCCAGCCTCCCCTCCGAGATCTCTTCTTCCTCCCCCATCCCATCTCATCCCATCCCATCCCATCCCATCCCATCCCATCCCATCCCATCCCATCCCATCCCATCCCATCCCATCCCGTCCCTTTCCATCCCATCCCATCCCATCCTGCAAAACGTCCTTATTTTCCTACCTCCAGACCTGACCGAGCTGCAGGACATGAACTAGCGACTGTAGGAGCCAGACGCAGAGGCGGCAGCAGCGGCGGTGAGGACGTCGGGCGCCAGATAGAGAGGGAGGGGCGGGCACGGCAGGACCCGGACTGGGACCGCTGTCCTTCGTGCTGAAGGCGGCGCTGGCGCTGACGCTAGCGCTGGTGCTGTCCTTGGTGCTGAAGGCGGCAGCGGCTGCACCTGGCCCAGCTCCGGCAGATGAGTAGTCATAGACGAACCATCGGAAGCTGAGCAGCTGCACCACGAGGGAGGGCAGCAAAGCGAAAAGCAGCGTGAGGCTGAACCAGATGTGCTGGCCCTGGAGGTAATAGTCAGCCGCCAGCCACAGGTCGGTGGCCCCGTCGGAGAAGAAGACTAGCAGCGCGCACAGCGCCCAGCAACAGTCCCACAGGCTGTAGCGGGGCCGCTGTCCCCCCACCGACAGCAGCCCCGCCCCAGCCCCAGCCCCAGTCCCCAGAGCCCCGGAGGCCCCGAGCCGGCCCGGGCCCCGCCAGCCACCCCCTCCGGGCCCGGGCCGGCCGCGGTGGCGCTTCCATCCGACTTCGCGGCCATGTTGGCGGAGGAGGAGGCGGGGAGAGACTTCCGGGCGGCCGCGTGGTGGGGGGAGAGAGGAGGAGGAGGAGGGGGCAGGGGGCGGTGGTGGTTGAGAGGAGGTTCTTGCTGGTGGCTTCTCTCTTCTTCCTCCTCTTCCTCCTCCTGCTCTCCTGCTCCTCCTCCTCTCTTCCCCAAACGCTCTCCTCCTCCTCCCTCCTCTTCCTTCTCTTTCTCTTATTTTGCCTCCCCTTCCTCCTCCTTTCTCCTCCCCCCTTCAATTATTCACTGGCCCTACTCTGCTCCCTCTTCCCCGAGTTGATGGTGGGACGTGATGGGGCAGCCGGGAGAGCCGAAAGATCAGGGAGGAGCTGGGAAGGGGTTGCATCCTTGGTTATTCCTCCTTCCCTCCCTCTGCCGCGCCCCTTTCCCTGTTCCAAGCAGAACTCCAGTCCCCCACTTCATCTTCGTTCATCTTTTCTTCATGGACCTCCTCCCCCTTCCCCAGTACTACATCCATTCATCTTTTCTGTCTCCCCTCTCTCCACCCCACCTCCATATTCACCTCAGGGAGCCTGATCCTACCCTGGCCTTGTAGGGTGTGGCTGAGACTAGAAGAAGGGAGTTGAAAGGGTGTCCCATTGGCTAGGGCCCTAATACCTCCAGAACTGGAAAGCTTAAGAAAGAAAAGAGTACAGCCATAGAATGTTAGCGCTGGGGGGCACCTTAGAAAATAGGAACACAGAATGTGAGAACTAGAAGGGACCTTACAACAGAGAAGGGAGATCAGAGCTGTGACAGAACAGCCTGGTGTAGTTGAAAGGGAACTGGATTTGTAGTCAGAGGGCCTGTGTTTAAATCCTGGATCTCCTCTCAGTGCGACCTTGGCCAAGTAATTTCACCTCCCTGGGCCACAGTTTCCTCTTCTGTAAAATGAAGAGATTAAGCTAAATGATTCATAAGGTTTCTTACTGCTCTAAATTTATGATCCTATTACTTTAGACTTCTCCAATACTAGTTGCTGTTTTACAATGGTAAAGAGTTTCCTCACTAGAAGCTCCCTACACAAATGAAACCACAAATCAGCAATATTCCTTCCCAAAATAACTTTAGAATACGTTAGAGTTGAAAGGATTTTAAAATCGCCTAAATTTCTGTAGCATTAAGGTTAACAAAACTCTTTTCCTCAAAACAACTCTGGTAGATAGTTACTATTATCTATATTTTACAAAGGAGGAAACTGAAGTAGAGAGAAGTAAAGTAAATTCTTCATGGTTAGACAACTAGTATCTAAAGGGGGGTTTGAACCAGATCCCCTGACTCCAAGTCCAGAACTTTTTCCATCATCCTATAGAATGTTAAAGCTGGAAGGGAACTTAGAGATCATCTAGTCTAAGGATTATTAACTTTTTGTGTGTCATGGACCACCCCATTGACAGTTTGATGAAGCCTACAGGCCATTTTTCAGAATAATGCTTTAGAATGCATTAAAAAAAATACATAAGATTACAAAGGAAATACAATCATCAAAATATGAAAAAAACCCCAAACTCAGAGTCTCTGAAATCTATCCACAGATCTATTGGTGGTTTATGAACCCCAAGTTAAGAACCCTTGATCTAATCCAATCCCTTCATTTTAGAGCTGAGAAAACTGAGTCTTAGAGAGGAGAGTGACTTCCCCAGTATCCCCTCACACAATGTTAAGGGAAAGAATCAGGACCAGAATTCAAGTTTCGAAACTCTTAAGCCAATGGGCTTTTAGTGACCCCACACTGCCACTCCCGAGGAGAGGCAGAACCATTGCTGTTTCCATTATAGTTAGGGGTTAGAAATGCCAATTCACCCCTAAGCACTATGCACCTACTCTGTGCCCCAAGTCAGTAGGTATTGGGGGAACACCCACTTCCCATTCAGTTCAGGTGTGTAGGTCTTATAACATCTCTGGGTAAAGAAATCCCTCCTTCAGTCCCTGCCCATACCTCTGATTGGAAGACAGGTTTGATGCTTTACCTCTCCAAATCTCTAACCCTACCCACATCTCTGATACCCCAGGGTCCTTTCTGAGCCTTATGATAGAGAGAGGTTTCCCTATAGATGTAGAAAAGTTCCCAGAGTCTTGAGCTGCTGGGTGAGGGAGATGGCAGTTCCCAGAGTTCTGTAGCAGTCTCACAGTCAGCAGAAAGCTTCTGCCTGCCTGCCTGACTTCCTCCCAGCTGATGCTCCCCCAGTGTGGGCCCATCTTGGCTTAGTGCCATGCCTGGGGGCTGTGCCAGACCCAGCTGTTGCTGACAATCTCTAGAGATGGAGGAGGGGAAGGTAAGGACCTGGGAGAGCTTTTCCCTGCTGAATCAATGTTGGTGGTCTCCATCTAAGAGACAGCTGTGGGGTGCCCACCAATCAGTTGTTGTGGACTGCTGTGGACTCTTGCTGACAATATGTAGACAGAGAAGAGAAGGGAACTGGGAGAGACCTGCAGATTCAATGCTGGTGGTCCCTACCCAAGGGAGCTGTGAGGTGCCAACCATACGGGTCATATGGACATGTTTGTAGGGGATTGTGTTTAGGGCTGGGGTGGGAATAGAAGACAAAATATAGGCTATCTCCTGACCCCTATGAGTCATCTATTTGTCACGTAGCTTCATAAAGTCTAACTCCTCTTCAGACTCTTCTTTGAAGTCCCCATGGGGACTTTGGAGGCCACCCCAGAAATAACTGTCATCAACTCTCTTATGGGGACAGGTTTGAGGGGAGTGGTGTAGTTGTACCACAGGTACAACAGAAAAGGGAGATTGGAGTTGGGTGCCAAAGTGTCAGAAGTTCTGAATGGATTCACAGGATGTTAGAGCAGGAAAGGACCCTCAGAACATAGAATGTCAGAACTGGAATCAATCAACAAGCATTTATTAAGCATCTACCATATGCTAGGCACTGTACTACATGTACAAATCAAATAGTTTCTGTCCCCAAAAGCTTTCACTATAATGAGGGAGGCAGCAGGTACATATATAAGTTTATACAAATCAAATTCCAAGTGACCTTGGAAGGGAAGGTTCAGGAGACCAGGAAAGGTATCCCAAAGCAGGTGGCCCTCGGCTGAGTCTTGAAAGCAGTGAGGGATTTCAGGAGGTGGAGGTGATGAAGGAGTGGGTTGCTGGCAAGAAGGACTTGTAGATAGAGTGTAGATAGAGTATCATATATGAGGAAGAGCAAGTAGGACAATATGACTGAACCATAAAGAGCATGGGTGGGAGTGATGTGTAAGTAGACTGTAAAGATAGGAAGGAACTAGGTTGTGAAGAGCTTCAAATGCCAAGCAGAGGAGTTTAGATTTTATTTGAAAGATACTAAGGAGTCACTGGAATTTATTGCATAAGGGAGTGGGGGAAGGGGGGGGACAAGTGATTTGATATGGTCAAACCTATGCTTAGCTGCTTTGTACAAGATGATCTGGAATGAAGAGACACTTGAGGCAGGGAGACCAGTTGGAAGTTTTTGCAATAGTTCAGGCAAGAGGTAATTTGAGGATTCATTAAGCTGGTGTCCATGTAAGTGGCAAGGGAGAGGTGTATCAGGGAGAGCTCAAAATGATGAGATTTGACACCTGCTGGTATTTGTAGGGTAAGTGAGAGTAAGGAGTTGAGGATGGGATACCAAGGTTTCATTCTGGGTGACTGGAAGGAGGCTGGTGCTGTCAATGGGAATAGGAAAATTCAGAAGGGTGAGTTTGGAGAGAAAGATAATGAACTCTGTTTTGAGTATATTGGGTTTGAGATGACTACTGGATATTATGACCCAACTCTATCATTTTCCATGAATTGTCTATGGGAACAGGAACTATTAGGGTGTCTGTGTAGGTATGAAGATGCAGCATCCTATGAAGAAAATAGAATTGTGTTTAGGAAGTACAATGTTTTTTTGACAAAAACATAGCTTTCTATTGGGAAAAAGACTCAAATAGCTGTACCCAGCAACTAATAAAACCACGGCAGCCTGGACGGGCAGTCAGAAGGTTTAGGTTAAATTCCCAGTTCTACCAGGCATTAGCTGTATGACCTTGGGCAAATTACCCCTTTGGACTTCCATTCCTCACCTGTGAAACCAAAGTAATACCATAAGTGCTAAATACTTCACAGAGTTGTTATGTGAAAAGCACTTTACAGACCATAAAATGCAATACAAATTGTTATTTGCTCTGCATTCAGTAGGTTCTTAGAATATGCTGTTTGAATTGAACTGAATTTCTAAAAAAGAGGATAATAATTCCTGTCTTACTGGTCTGATGGGATTTTTTGGGGAGGGGAGGGAGGAAAGGGGATTGGTGAGGAAAGTCCTGCATACATATGAGCTGTTATTATTCTTATCAAGTATTTTAAGAACTTTGAAAGTACCAGATGGGGCACAAAGTTGGTATCTGAATTGAGTGTTGAAATATGGGTAGGATTTGAGTTAAGCCAGAAGTAGGGCATAAGGGAGTAGAAATGTTATGAATGAGGCATTTAAGGGCCGTACATGAAGAGGATTGGAATAGGGGCAAGAAAAGATTAGAGAGGTATTCTGAGACCATTGTGGACAACATAGTAGAAAGAATTTGGATTTGAAGTAAGATGACCAGGATTCTGGTTCCAGCTATGTCAATTAATTGCTATGTAATTTTGGCAAGTCACTTGACCTTCTAAGCTTTGGTTTCTTATCTATAAAATGGAAATAATAATTATTTCACTACTTACCTCACAGGAGTGTTGTGAGGATAAAAAAAAATAGAGCTACAATGCCGTGTGTCAATTTTGTAACCACAATGTGATGTGTATATATAACATTTTAAAATGTTGGGCTAGATGGCTCCTAAGGTCCCTTCAAGTTCTGACATTCATGATTCTCCAACCTTTCCATGGCTGGGTTCTTTATGATTTAATTCAAACTGAGATTCTCCACCCCCACTAGTTTGACCTATAAATAGACCTAAGAGGATGAAGAAACATTTGGCACCAGTCCCTCCCCCCTCTGACCTGTAACCCCAGC